GTGTAAGAGCTGCAACTAATATGAACTTTTATCAAAATATGTATCCCTATATTATACAGTTCTCTTTTTCTTCAACATAATAAAATTTTTACAACTTTTTAAGCCGAAAAACCTCTACAAAAGAAAGGAAAACGTAATTCCGCTATCCCTGTAAAACTAGATCTAAAGACAAATGTAAGGATAATAATCTAAATAACCCATAAACATAATGAAGACTCATAAGGTCCAAATATAAAAAAACACATGTATGAACTTACATACACTCAAATAAATCAAAAAAGACCAACAAAAATACAATACGTGTTAAATACTCCCAAAGAATTCATAAATATCACCACACCCCTCAAAGGTACAAGACTTTTCTTTAGCATTTCTTTCTCTATTATACTCCGTTCTCTCAAAAAACCTTCAGTGTAAGCTATTGCTAACTTAAGTATTGAAGTGTCTACTTCCGAGAACCGCCCTCAAAGCTTTTCAGGTTTATTCAACAAGAATATCTGAGCAAGAAAGGACTTGAAAGTTTTCTGCATCAACAACAAATAAACTAAAACAAAAGGATATGGAGTTACAACATACAACGGGACAACGGGAAAGGAAGCGTGGAAACATAATAAACTGGGTTGGATGCAGGAACAAAGGGGAAGGTAGGTACTCAATCCCCACCAGAGATAATAATAATATAATCATTGATGTTATGCAAAAATAAATAAAGAAAAAGTGTTGTTTTACTCCAAAATTCCATCCTTCTGATTTCGCAATACACATTTCTTCTAGTTCCAGTCGAGTGTACATCGCACAACAACAACCCAAATAAACAAAAACGAACAGTTTATTACCAAGGGTTCAACCACTATAACTCGGGATTTAAATTAAGAAAAATGAAACCAGCGGCTGACAGGTTTTGGACTTCCAACACCATGGATAATCGCACCTGAGAGTTCATGAATAACAACTAGATTTGTATTCCTAAAGCAACACCTGCACGCTAGATGATGCAGACATTGCAGAAAGAACCTCTGTCACTGAAGCCATTACGCTCAATGCTGCTTTCAGAACTTCCTGAGAACACCCTGGTTTCACGATGGTCCGGACCTGAAAATCATGAGCAAAGGAATATCGGATAAGAAAGCAATCACTGTGAGACTAGCACTGCTGGGTATTTTATAACTCTTGAGTTGCTCTTGTCAAATCACTAGATGCAATCTAAGTCATCATCATTTGAAGATGAACTTGGATGATTTAATGCATGATGTACTGATTTCTACGCTTGCATTATCTTGCTCTTATGATTTGTAGATATGAACAAAAAAAGAGTAGGATGAAAACAACAGGGCACCAACCTTGTCAAGATATTCCTGAAGTTTCTTGATACGGCCCATGTAATCCTGGTCTTCAACACTCAGGGTTACAGCCTTAGCATCAGCACCAGGACCATCAAACTGAAGAGGCCCTGGATTTCTGTACAGGTCTTCCATCAAGAATCTTGTAGCATTTTGTCTCAACAGACTGTAATGAAACCATACTACTATCAGAACAAAGGTGACTGAAACATAAATAGAGTGCTTAGAGTACAGCATCTAGAATTCTACTTAAATAAATACAACACCTTGAAACTTACTCATATGCTTTGCCTTTCAGATCCACTGGAGCTGGATGAATAGCAGGCATTCCAATTGAGGTGGAATTAGGATTTTGAGACCAACGCTTCACAGTCATCATTACCTGCACGCAACTAAAGAAGTCAGTATAACAGAAAGTGTTGGCCAGAAGAAAAGGTATAAAAGAAAGCATGTCAAAGGAACCAAGAGACCATATTGGCTATATGGTCCATAAAACAAATGTTCCATAAATGAAAAGAACTAGTTCATGGAAGAGAATGATTCATGAATGAAAAAAAAAAAAATCAGATTATGATGTCCATATCACTTAATAGTCAAACTGAAAACTCAACTGTAATAGGTGCAGCACCACAACGCCATTTGTTCACAGGATTCTTCAAGTTAGTTACAGTGGCCATGTAACCATTCAAACCAGCTGCAAGAATATGATAGCAGATGTGTCCAAGAACCTGCAAAAATGATATAGCATTGCCAATTAGGGAGCATAATAGCAAAAGAAAGATAAGGAAGCCAGATCAGCATTTAGTGGTACCATACATAGGCATAGTCGCAGTCAAATTTTGAAGGTAAGGATCCCCGAGCCTGATAGCCAAAAAAGTGGGAGATGGCATTGAATTTTTTGCCCTTGTACTTGCCTTCTTTCTATTCAAAAGGAAAAAGAAAAAACTTTAGTGAGTAAAATTTCGAGTTTAGACTGATGAAGGCATATGTTTAACTCTGAAGCTTATCTTAAACTCCTCCAAAATGTAGGATAAAAATATTCAGCTCTTTCTCAACATGTAAAGATTAAAAACTAAAGTTTATTTTATTTTATTTTCTATAAATATTGTACAGGAGATTGGGAAGGCAAAAAAAAAAAAACAGTAGAAGTGCAACCATTGGGATTTTACATTTTACGACTGAACTCTAAGCAAAATAAACATTATAAAATCCAGTTCAATATACAATTAAAGCGGAAAAAGGAAAAGGGGAAGGGGAAGAAAAAAAGAAAAGGAGAGTAGAGTCACATACCTGACACTTGTTGATTTCCGTCTCTACAAGGTGTGCAAGAAGTTTCTCAGTCTCAATCTGAGAGAAATTGGAAAATAGCTATCAATAATGGGGGAGTTTGATAGCCCATGCTATGTTATAGAACTATAGAAGGTTCCAAAATTGTTCACCTGGGACAACTGGGCAGAATCATCTGATTCAGGATGAAGGAGAAGCTGTAACCACAAATATGGCATCATCAGTCATTAAGCTCATATCAACTGGCCAGCATCGTTCAGAGTGAATAAATTAAGGGAGATCAGAATGAACCTGTTTCCTAATAAAGTCTGGCAAAAAATTAAACAGAGCAGATGCCCAGGGCGACAATTGAGAGGAAATGTTGTCAGCAGAGACACCATTTCTGAGCAAACTATGAATTTCCTGAAGAAGAAAAATATCAACATCTTAGCAGGGATAATTTTCTATTAAACAATGAATCCTAATTATTAATTTTACAAAGAAAAGAGAACTAAAATATAATTAATACAATAGAGGTTGGAGGTTCCATATTAATCACCTTTAACAGAGCATACACTTCAGGAATGCTTTCTATAAGCCCTTCTGGCAGGAGGATGACACCATGGTTCTTTCCTGGTCCACATACGCAATATTAGGAAAGAATAATGATATAAGCAGTTCCCAAGATGAAATTAAATTAGTAGAAAACATTTGAACCTTGCTCGGCTCTGGCTTGTACTGCATCACAAATTTGCTTTGTCAAGTCAAAGAGTGTAAGCTTTGAGGCAGCCACCTCCTCACCAAGAATTACCTGAAGAAAACATATGAAGAATTCATAAAAGAGATCTTCATACTAGAATATGAATAGATAAATTGGAACAGGCAAGCAATACTAACCATATTTGGATGAGACTGGAGAGTGCATTCAAGGGCAACATGGGATGCCTTCCGGCCCATAAGACGGATAAAATAATAATACTGTAACAAAAAAAGAAGCCAAAGGTAAGGCAAGGCCAACTTATATTTGGTTAAATTTCAGTTGTCTATTCCTTTCATTTTTAGACATCAAAATATTAGATATATAATTGTCTATTCCATCAATATTAGAACACTTATAACACTTCGTATTCAACTTCAAATCTACAAATCAAGGAGGATCCTCCCACAACCACTTTTGTCAATCTATTTGTGAGATCAAGCAAGAGAAGCCAACCTAAAACAGACTCAATTACCTTCTCAGCAGAGAGAGCATCAGTGCACACATTGCTGATGAGCTGGGAATTGACCTGTATATAAGGCAAATAGAATTTAGTCAAAGAAACTATATTAAATAATTAATATTTATTATTTAACACATTGAAATCAGTTTATAAACTGATATTTTCAGGCATCATAACCAACTATTTAAAAAAAAAAACCTACAAACAGATAAAATATCAGCCAAACTAAATAACTTTTGGGTGGCCTTAACAAAATGGTGGGTGGCCATAACCTCACCCAATTCCCTATAGACAACACAAATGCCCCGGGTGAACATATTTCTCCATAAGCCACCTAAATCCTACCCTACTGGCATCCCTGAATTGCAAATTGATATGATATTTTTAAGTTTTTAAATTTTAAATGCCTGTTAAGGTCAGAATCAGAGATGAGAAATACTACATTTCTCTCACTATATCCAAGTAAACTGCTAAAAACATCTTCAATTTATACCTTGCAAATTGTATCGAAACCAACATTAGTTTCAACAAATTGATTCCTAAGGTCTCCATTCAATGTAACAGGAACACCAACCACCTGCAAATATGAGACAGCATGAGAAAAATTGAATTGTTGTAGAAGCACCCAACTGGTAAGTTCAGAAAAATAATGAGGAAATTACTTTTGTTGGACAATTTGCTTCAGCAAATGTTTCAGCAAGATAAGCAGCATCAGTGTTTGATGTGACCCCTGCAAAAGGAATTTCAATTGTAACACCACTATCATTCATGCTTACACATTAGCAAACTTTCTTGAACATCAATCTTACCTCCAACAATGACAAGACCATCCAATTTCAAATCAGTGCATGCAGTTAGTGCAGAATTAACTTGCTCAGTTGTTCTAATTTGATCCTTTGTTCTTCCCAGCAAATCATAACCACCTGGTCAAGTACAATCATATTTTATAGTCTGCTAAGCCCAGAGATGTACAAGTTCAAACACATAAATATAATAATTGATTCATAAGAACACCTACCTTGGTTTTTGTAAGAAGAGAGAACGTCATCTGTTATCTCAAGAGTTTTTTGAGCAAACAAACCTTCAGAACCACCTATGATGAAGCACAGAAAAAGCATCAGAAATCAAAAAGAGCATAATAAGTACTAACTGCAGCTTCAGTTTAAACGAAATTAAAATAAGAATGTTAAAAAATTCAAAACAGATTTATTTTCTTTAGCTCACTCCCTTGCTAGTTGCTACCCTCAAGCCTCAAGCTTTTTAATTTTTCTGTGTGGTTGTGTGACATTCTATAACAGAGAAAAGAGAGCTTACCCAGAAATCCCAACAAAGTGCTCTTCGGGTTGTGGATTTTGAGAGCATTGAGAAGGCCCCATATGACATTATGCCCACCAGGGGATTGTCTCCCACAAAAGACAATTCCAACCCTACAAGAAAAAAGAATCAGCATGACCCAAGAAAGATTTTGTTTATATGAGTTTGCAAACAAATTGGAAATCAGTATAGTAAATAAAATTCTATTATCTCAATATAAAGAAACCGATGTAATTATCTCTGGCTGTTTCGAGTTTAAAGCATCAAGTCAAAAAAGTAATTACTTTGTACCTAATAGATGGATGCTCAGTTATAATCTGAGCGTCAGGGACTTTTGCAGTTGCTCTAAGAAAGTGAGCCAAACGCTGCCCGTAAGTGTGTGGAAAAGCTCGACTAATGGTATGAGCACCAGCTGAATCTAGAGCTGTAGTTGCATCACCAAATTCAACTCTAACAGTAGTTCCCTGAATATTATGGATAAACACAAGAAGTCAATAGTCCATATACAAAAGTAACTCTAAAAATTGCAGAAGAAAATACAATGCAGGATACATCAGAAAGAATAAACAATAAAAATACTGGTGGCAGATCATCAATAAAAGAAAAATCAAAACTGTGCTAAAATAGCAATCAGTACATTAGAACTGGCAAAGTGTACTACAATTTCAAGTCTTTCTCATTCCACCAGAAAGATTTATTAGTTAATAGATTATTAGATAATAGTTTTTCAAACATAGTAAATACAAAGGAAACCACTTTATGTAAGTCTGTATTTGGAACAGGCTGCATCCACTTATTTACATTAATAACTTTTCCAATTCTTTAAAAAAAAGCACGAAATTTTGACAATATGCAATTAAGGATCGACTTCTTAGTTAGTCGATTATGCATGTAAGATGTGTGCATAAAACAGCATCAAACCAAAACAATACTAAAAATAAAAACGAGATCTGTTGACTTAATTGCTTATTGTCTTCTCCACGTTAGCAGATCGAGGCCAAAAGGTTTGAGAAGAAGAAGAAGAAAAAAAAAACCTTAAAAACCAGGTTTTTTTTCAAATAAGGAGGAGAAATGGAAAACAGACTCGGTTGACTTAAAAGAAAACGGAAGTGAATAAAAATAGATTCGCTGAGTGAATCATGGGATGCAGTGGATAAATCGATTAAAAATAGAGAGTTAAGTTGAGTAAGTGAGAGGAGAGGAGAGGACCTCAAGGCAAGGAGGGATCTCCGGTTGGTAGTGAGATCGGAGTTTCTGAAGATCCGAGAG